AGGGAAGGAGAGAGAGAGAGTGAGAGGAGAGAGAGGGTGAGAAGATGATTGAGGTGGGAAAAGGCAAAGTGAATGAGATTAGGTGAGAGAGAGAAAGAGAGGAAGAGGGTTGATGGGTCAGTTGGTGTTACTTGGTGCTAAAATTTAAAAAAGTGTCTGCTACTGGTTGTGATAATTGGAGCAAATTAAACATAATATCCCTCCTCTTTCTCACACCAAGTTTTTCCCTCCTACACCTTGCACCTCTTTCTCTATCATTCAATCCTATATTTATAATTCTCCTTTTCTCTCCCTTTTAGGATGAGTTATGTATGCACTTAACAAATTATGCTATTAACAAGCACAGTAAGGACTTCATTAGAGATGAGGAGAGTGGTAGCAAGAGACGGATCACAACACTCAACAAGTGGTTTGAGGACAATGGATATGATCTAGACAAGATCTGGTCTGACATTGATGTAAGCGAATTATGCATTGGCCAACCATGATACAAGCAATGTTGGGGTCAAGCCCTTGGGGCTTACGATGTATTAAGTTTTGAACTAACTTAAGCATTGAGTACTTTAAAATCCTTTAACTATAAGTATTTTAAGTATGTAAGTCTATTGTAAGTTAGTGACAGTCAGATATACATGTACATGTACATGTATAAGTACATGTATGTGTATATGAGGCATGCAGCTTCTTGTCAGTGGATAATGGATTTGTGGATTGTCAAGTTGCTCAAAATGGGGCCTTGTACAGGCCAAATTTTCTCAAAAATGGCTAGGAGAGAATTCTCTATTTTTATAATTTTTTCTAATACATATACATGTCCTTATGCTGTGTATCAACTTTGAGTTGTTTCCGATCAAATTTGGATTTTTTATGAACTTTTAAAGTTGCTCCAAAATCGAACCAATGACCCAAGGCTATAGCCTTTGGTCACAGGCCAAATTTCATCAAAAATGGCTAGGAGAGAATTCTCCATTTTTATAAATTTTTTCTGATACATATACATTTCCTTATGCTGTGTATCAGCTTTGAGTTGTTTCTGATCAAATTTGGATTTTTTAATGAATTTTTAAAGTTGCTCCAAAATCAAACCAACGACCCAAGGCTCACAGGCCAAATTTCATCAAAAATGGCTAGGAGAGAATCCTTTATTTTTATATTTTTTTCTAATACATATACATGTCCTTATGCTGTGTATCAACTTTGAGTTGATTCCAATCAAATTTGGATTTTTTTATGAATTTTTAAAGTTGCTCTGAAATCCAGCCAACGACCCAAGGCTATAGCCTTTGGTCCTGGCCAAATTTCATCAAAAATCGCTAGGAGAGAATTCTTTATTTTTATAATTTTTTCTAATACATATACATGTCCTTATGCTGTGTATCAATTTTGAGTTGTTTCCAATCAAATTTGGATTTTTTATGATTTTTAAAAGTTGCTCCAAAATCCAGCCTACGACCCAAAACAGGCCAAATTTCATCAAAAATGACTAGGAGAGAATTCTTTATTTTTATAATTTTTTCTGATACATATACATTTCCTTATGCTATGTATCAACTTTGAGTTGTTTCCGATCAAATTTGGATTTTTTACGAATTTTTAAAGTTGCTTTAAATGCCATGTACATGTACAGTGTACTTGTACATGTACTACATGCATCAGTAGGAGCTTTTAACCAATAGCCCATTCCTGTGGTCTATTGTACATGTACATGCATTAGATTCACTCTTTGTCTCTCTAACTTTTTAACTTTATTTTCCTTCTCTCCTCTTTCTTAGGATGTCATCATTAAAACACTAATATCAGCTCATCCAGTCGTCTGCCACAACTATCGGTCCTCATTCCCTAATCACACGAGAGGCAGTGCCTGCTTTGAGATACTCGGCTTTGACATTCTCCTAGACCGCAAACTCAAGCCCTGGCTGATGGAAGTGAACAGGTCCCCCAGCTTCCATACTGACTCCCCATTGGATAAGGAAGTGAAGGAGGCTTTGATATATGATACACTGGATCTCATTGACCTCTTTGCTAATGATAGGAAGAGATGTCTGGAGGAGGAGAAACAGAGAGCAAGGGATAGGCTCCTACAGAAGGCAAGATCTAAGGACTCAAGGTACTGGATAGAGAAATGAAGGAGGAGAGGGAGGGAAAGGGAGAGAGAGAGGAGTGGAGAGGGAGAGAGAGGAGGGGGAGGGAGAAATTGTAGTTAGTGTATATACATGTACATGTACATGTAGTGCATAAACATAGGCAATGAGTACTGTTAGATTTGAGTAGGTACATGCATACATGTACATGTACATTGTACATGTATTATATAGTATAAATGTACATGTAATCTTTAAATGTAAAAAAATATAAAATATAATTAAAATATAATGTAAATTATAAAATTTTGACAAAATTTTTGATTGACAAA